AGTATGATACGCCAATGTCATCTTTACAACTGCCCTAACACTCTTCTATTAAAATGTATACAGTCCATTCTCAGATTGTAAAATCATAAGGGTATAAAAACGTATTTTTAAATGTCGATAAATTATGTAATAATCAGCTTTTCTTTTACAAGCTAATTCTATAATCAGTATCCTAGAAAGTAAGGTTGTAGAAGCAGTTGTGTGATTAACTAGTAGCACTAGATTTCTCTTTGTGTACCTTTCTCAGGAGTATAGACACTGAGTTTGGATTGTGATTGTCAAATGTTCCACTTTGAGGTAGCTTGCATCGACTGCCAGCCTAGGCAAGGGTGGCAAACCCATGGCACACACCCTGCAGCGAGCTGTTTGTATCATAGAGTTCTAAGTGGTTTACCTCACTGGCCTAGAGAATAGTCATATTCTTCCATTGAAGATTTTGTACTTTTTTAAATAGTGATTTTGTTGGCTATTAGGAATATGAACTAATTTGAGAAATAATTTCTTAAGTTTGGAGACATAAGTTCTAGTGTTTAAGATTACTTTGTTTCTTTGTGCAAACTTTTAATGAATGGTTTTAAGGGCAGCTTTACATTTTCATAATTTAGTATTTGAGAGGTGGGAGAAGAGGAAAAAGTTTTAAAAGTCAGCAAGTGACAAAGAAAACATTAGGGCCTCTAATGGCTGAGGCTCCACAAACAACTTCCAGCTGAACCTCTCATGCAGATAGCTCAGGTTTTCAGACCTACATGCCGCCTAGCATCCCTTTCTGACCCCATCGTCTGTCCCAATAAATTAAGCTCTAGTTGGGGTCTAGATGTGTTTTTGACCACTGTTATTGTTTAGGTCACATTAGAGATGACATAGCTGGTACAGGTTTTGGAACATGTTTTTTCAGGCTGCATCTGGAGGTGGTGGGGTTGGAGATAGCGGCCAAGAACCCACAACAGGCAACTGGCGAGGAATGCTGAAAACTTCAAAAGCCGAAGAGTTACTAGCTGAAGAAAAATCAAAACCAATTCCAATTATGCCAGCCAGTCCACAGAAGGGCCACGCAGTCAATCTGCTGGACGTGGTAAGCTATGAGAAATTTGGTTTAGGTGACCAAGTAAATGACCAAAATTAATATGAGAAAAGACAAACCGAACTACAAGTAGCAAAACTTATTTAACTTTTGAATATTAAGAGGATTGTCATTTCAAAATGGCACAAAAGTAATGCTTCCTGCCCATGTCATTTAGCCAGTTCCTGTTGCTCGAAAACTGTCTGCCCGTGAACAGCGAGATTGTGAGGTTATCGAACGACTCATCAAATCCTATTTCCTTATTGTCAGAAAGAATATTCAAGACAGGTTAGTATTACTTAACATGAATCACAGGCTACAATTTTGCTACTGTTTCGAAAACACATATTTTTTAGTTTATCTAAATCAAATGAATTATCCTGATACTCTGCATGACTTGTCATAGCAATACTCATAATCTGTTAACATAGTCTAGAACCTGACATATTTGCTAGAAGTTATTAAATATTCTTTTGTTCTATCTGGCTGTCACACTTTCAGCTAAAAAAGCCTTTTTTTCTAGATATTAGTAGTTTCATTAATTTTGGCTTATTAATACTGGCTTATCGTTTTTTTTTCCTTGTTTTTGGTACCAGGAATCAAACTCATGACCGCGCACTTGGAAGGCAGGCACTTATGCCACGGGGCTAAATCCCCAGCTGGCTTGCCTTTTGAATGATTTGACTCTCTGAAATATTAAGTATCTTTCACTAGGAAATACTTTATCATTCTAAGTCAGAATGCTTTTCATGTGTCCACTGCCTAGTGTCATGTCCAGTATAGTACATGTAATGTCATTTATGCAAAAGGGAGAAGAAAAATTTAGCTGTCTAGAAAACATTTAAAAAATATTCTGTATCCAATTTGTAGTGATTAACAAATAAGAAATTTTACTGAAGAGGAATAAAGTCAGATACTCTCTCAACACTTCATACTAAAGCAATGTTTTTCTCTCTATAACCTGTTATCTTATTTGCCTTATAGGATATTTTAACTTTTAGCTTCTGGTAAAAATAATAGTTCTTAGCTGAGTATGGTGGTGCATGTCTGGAATCCTAGCACTCTGGAGGCTAAAGCAGGAAGATCACATGTTTGAGCCTACCCTAGGCAACTTAGCAAGATCTGGCCTCAAAAATTTTAAAAAGTTCTTGGTTTACACTGTATGCTAAAAAAAAAAAAAAAAAAAAATTCTACTTTTCCTTTATTGCTCCTTCCTCTATAAAGGTTTTTATTGCTGTTCTTAAAATTATTATTGATATAGGGCCAGGGATGTAGCTCAGTGGCACAGTACCTGTCTGGCAAGCACAAGGTCCTGAGTTCAAGTCCTAGTACCAAAAAAAAAAAAAAAAAAAAAAAAGCCCAAACCAAAAAACATATATACCAGTTTCCCATCTTAAGTATATTTTGCAGGGTTTTTTTTTTTTTTTAGTATATTCATGAAATTGTACAATGTTGCTATCTAGTCCTGTAACATCTTTATTATCCCATAAAGCAAGCCTGTACCTACCAGCAGTGACTCCCCTTACTCTAACCTACCATCTCTGTCAGTGTGCCTACTCTGGATACTAAATATGGGTTCAGTCTTTTCGTGACTGGCTTCTTTCACTCACGTGTTATTAAGGTTCATTTATATTGTACTTCATTACTTTTTATGGTTAATACTGGCTTGTATTGATACTGCATTTTATCATTTATCAACATACACTTTTTTTTCATATATTTTGATTATGAATAGTGTTCATTACATATTCATATTTTCATATATTTTGATTATGAATAATGTTCATTACATAATAGTGTTAACAGAGTGGATGAAATGAAAAAGGTACAATACCAAAAATTGCGACTTTTCTTTTGCTTGATTATAATTAAGTAAAAATTGAAAGAATGATTATGCCATTAAAGAAATATCTAGGTAGACCAGCATTCTTATTTAGCTTTGCTTTTTTGAGGCCAGAGTCTTTGCTCAAATTTTTAAAAGAAATTTTGCCAAAACTTTGTAATCTGGTTTTGTTTTGCAGTGTGCCAAAGGCAGTAATGCATTTTTTGGTTAATCATGTGAAAGATACTCTTCAGAGTGAGTTAGTGGGACAACTTTATAAATCATCCTTATTGGATGATCTCCTGACTGAATCTGAGGACATGGCACAGCGTAGGAAAGAAGCAGCTGATATGCTGAAGGTATTACTGCAAACTTTTTTCGATTTTTATACTTCGGTTTTAGATGCATAGATACTCATTTAAATAGCTTAAAATGCACTCTGATCTTTGGATAATACAGTCTTTATATTACAGACTTTTTTCCTTTGGGACTTGATTAAGATTCAAATTTCAGAGAAGACACTCATTAGTAAAAATCTGCTATGTATATACTAAATAGGGAAATTTCTCTCCATAATTCAAATACTGTGAGTTAAGCAATTAAAGGTTTTATTTCCCTTAATGCAGGCATTACAAGGAGCCAGTCAGATTATTGCTGAAATCCGAGAGACTCATCTTTGGTGAAGAGAACTGTATAAAACAGACTTTGTTGACTTGAAACCTGCTAGTTACTGCCCATTGAGGAGAATTTTATTTATGAACTACCAGGTACTGCAGTGATGCAAATTTCTTCATGTGAAGACTAGCTATAAACTGAAGTGAACTCTGCATTACAGAACAAATCACACACTTAATCCAAATAATAAATGGCTGTTTCTAAAGTTTTCCTATACATATACATGTCTATCTTGTGACAGTTTCATTTGAACTTAAGAACTGTTGATGTTCTAGTTGTACAAAGCCACTTGCCTGTGGGTAAGATGACCTGTGTAATTTCTGCTAGTAGTTTTAAAGCTGCTGCCATAGTACCTGAAGAAGAAAGCACCGAGACATTTCATGTAACTATAATGCATGCACTGTATCAAGTGACTGGCCATGAGATGTGGGTTGGCAAGTTCCTCATATATAGTCACTGTATTTCACTTGCCCTGTAGAAGTTTACAGCTTTTAAAATCTCTGCATCTTTGCCGTGTTGGTAAGAAAGCTGAGTTAACAAGAGGATCTGGAACATTGACAAAGATGGGTACACACTGTGTAGTCATAGCCCTTGTGTCACTTTGGGGTCCATGTTGTACTTGTTATAAATTAAATTACAATTTGATTCTAACTTAACCTAGAAGCATGAGTCACAACTGACTGCTTTAAAAACAATCATCTGGGCTTGATTATCTTAGTAAGACTTGGTAACAATGGCCAGTTCCTTTTAGTTTTGGAAGATCCAGTGAAGAACTAAATACATCTCTAAAACGGGGCAATTAGACACGAGGATCTAAGATGCAGTTTGAAGCAGGACTCAAATCAGTCTGTTCTCTGTAGTAGTTCATAATAGCTGCTTTTTCTCTACATCAACAGAATATATGAGAACAATGCAATCAGGACATTCACATATTCTGTGAAAGAGTTACCGTTAAACTACATAGAAGGGTTGGGAATTATGTTTACCTCTAATACTTTTGTGTGTGAAACTGCCCAGGTAATTCTTGGTACAAAGCACCTTAAAAACCTTAGGATATGAATAGAAATCCTTAAGACACCTAGCTCCATCTCTAACAAACACATTTAAGTATTATAAACATTATAGTTTCTTTTCAGGTCATGACTAGGTATTTGTGAAAGGTTACTGGCAGGGACAAATTACCAATAAGTTAACTTTAGCTTATGGTTCCCATTTACTGAAAAATAATGTGTTGTAACTAATCTGAAACAAAAAAAATCAATCAGTCTGACTTGAGCACTGCTTGAATTCGATCGTACCAGTTTGATTGGCAATGCATGCTGTTAAAATCTTAGAACACTTGAAAATCCCTTTGCTATCATTAAACACCAGTTTTAAAATTATAACCATTCGTGATTTACTTTTTTCAGACAGGTCAGAGGACTACCACTGTAGCTTTTTGAATTTGCAAAGAAAAAAAAAAAAAAAAAAAACTACAATGTGCCTTCTCCAGCACATCAGATTTCAACAGTACAGCTTTAAAAACATGCTATGGCAATGCACTTGCTAGTATAGTACTACACACTTTGTACAAAGAAAAACAGGCAAGAAACTTACAGAAAGAGTAAACTTTCCTTTGTTGGTTCTTAAAATGGGTGAAGTTCTGAAATGTGGAGATGATCTTGGTCATATTTATAATGGATACCTGTAACGTTCCTCCTGTGTAAATAAAACTGGTATGAAAGAACACTGCAGTTGATCAATAATTCTTACCTACTTCAGAGAAAGGTTTGAATAAACTAGCTTTTTAAAGTCTACTTCAGAACCTAATACCAAAGCTTAAACCACACCAAAAGTTTTATGAGTCTTAACAATTCACTCAGTGCTAGAGCTCCATTTCTGTATGTGAAGACATAGGACTTCCTCCAAGTAATCACAGTAGCAAGTAGCCAGGATTTGCTGCCTGCAAGCTTTTCAGGTGAAATCTGATGTTTTATGATCCGCTAGAGGAAATGATGCTGTTACCTTGATTTTGATGGTTCTAGAGGAAAATTACTTGCCTAATATATGTGGGCCTGTACTCAGTCTTAGGTATGTTTTTTTTTGTACTGGGAATTGAACGCAGGACCTTGTGCTTACCAGGTAGGTGCTTATGCCACTGAGCTACATCCCTGGGCCCCTGTAGTCAGTCTTGAGTCCCAATTTTTAGTTTGACCTGAAACTTTATCTTCTGATGTTCTCATAGAAGTTCACACTTGTTAAAATACTTCTCTTTTTCCTTTGTTTGGCTCCTTACCTTTTCAGTTTACACCTAGTTACAATCTGCTTGGGGATAGAATTGAATGGAAAAGTTTTTACCTTTATAAAACATTGTTATATCAGGAATCCACTGGCAAAAGGGTATGAGTAAATAGTTACACTAACTGAAATGCAGGCTGAATTAGAAACTTTCTGAAAATTACTCATTTGTTCTTTGAAAATGTTCCTTACCATAATTTTTAATTGCAAGTACAACCTCAACTACAAGAATTAGTTTCTCAAACAACAAAATCATCAAATTTGTAATTCCAATAGATTCCCCATTTTTAATACGGATACTACAGGCAAGCCTTACTAGTGAGATCTTGAAATAAATGCACTCATATTCCTTAATACTGTATCTTCTCAATGCTTTACCTTATCACTTCTAAAAGAACAAGAAAGACAAGATAGAAAAGGTATTTCTTTCATGAAGCAAACTTTTTAAGAGATCAGTGCTTTTATTTTTGAGATAGGGTCTTGCTATGTAGCCTATGCTGGCCTTGAACTTGTGGTGATCCACCTGTCTCTAACTCCCAGGGCGGGGTTCACAGATAAAAGCCACCATACCCAGCTTCAATTCTTGAAATCATAGGTTTCTATGGTAATTAATGTCTGAATCAGGAAACAAATTTTATTAAATAAAACACCCTATTAACCAACTAAAAAGAATAAATTACATTGTGAGGCCTGTTTTTCATTTTGAAGAAAACCTTTCATATATTTTGAGAATGACAAATCTGAACAACCAAAAGGATTCTGCATCACAACTGAAGCCATTTTATAATGTAGAAATTCCTTTTTCCTATTTTAAGTAAAGACAGTCCATTCTTGAGAATATGTTGTCCGACAACTAAAACACTCTCAGGATTTGTTACTTGTCTGTGATTTATACTGACTCCACCTTCTGTTATCATGCGATACCTGAAAACAGAAATGTTCAGTAACTACAGAGATCCAATCACATGCCCATTCCTGCCTAATGTTTTTTCTTCTATATCTCGCTATTCAACTAGTTACAAATGAGTACGTGTTAATGATATGCCAAATAATGTCTTATGCAGCAAAAATATTCTCTAGTAATATGGTACAACAGGAATTAAAATATTCTGCCTACTTCCTGAAGAAAAATGCAATTACCAAGAGAAATATTTCATAGTTTACGATCCTTATGAAATTACATCATCTCATTTTCAGTAATTCAATCAAACATATACACACACACACATACACATGTATGTTTGTATAATGATTAGGGACTGAACTCAGTCTTCAACTAAGCTGTACCTTCCCAAATTTTATCGTATCATCCTAAATTTTAAGACAGGGTCTCAACTAAATCACTAAATTGCTCTGGTTGAGCTGTAATAGAGCTTATAATCTTGCCACAGCCTCCCAAAGTGCTGAACTTACAGGCATGTGCCCCCACACCCACCTTACGTCTGTTCACTTTTCAGTTTGTGACCACAGCCCTAAGCTGACTGTTAAGTGCCTTTCCCCAAAGGACACAGCTGCTCAACACTAGACTGCCAGTGCTGAAGGGAAAACTAACCAATGTAATAAGTAGGGAAATACTCCACAGAAGATGCCAGGCATTTTTTTTTTTTTTGTCTTTTTCCTTTTATTGGTACTGGGGATCGAACTCAAGACTGCATGCTTGCACGGCAGGCACTTATGCCGCTGAGCTAAATCTCCAGCCCCAGGTGCCAGGCAGTTTCAACAGTATATATTTTCACTTCAGTCTTCAAATAACCTAACTTTCTCAAGCAATGAGATACCATGAACGCATCAGGTAAATACCCTCTCTGGAAGCATGCTGTAAACTAACAATGAATGGTGAATCAACTGAATTAAAAAGGTAAGTTGTCTTACCCTCGTGGACCATCAGGAATCGCATTTGCTTTGCGGCATGTGTCGAGAACGCTTGTTCCAGGGTCAAGGACTAATTCAGAAAATGAAGCTTCTTTAAACAACTCTTTCAACTCTTGGTCAGACATGACCTCCAGTGCATCTATACTACTATGGTAAAGTGCGTGTGTACACCTAGAAGACATGTGGAAAGCCCATCCCATGAGTGCTTTGTATATAACACAGTACACATTATCCAACTCACGTTCATATGGAAAAATTTTGAAACATGTATCTTGAGTAGTTCCAAAATTTCTCGTCTATCAACTAAACTATCAACTAAACATTTTGGGAAATGTTAACTGCTTCAAAAGCTACCTTTTCGCAGAATCCAGTCCTTCTTGGCCATGAACAAGCTTTGTTACTTCTGCAGCAAGTCGCTTCTGTGGACCTCGCTTTTCTGGTTCTTTGCCATGCAGCTGCATAATGTGGTCAATCTCTGCAAAGGGCAGAAAAGTGAAGAGCTTCAGGTACCTTGGGGACAAAAAAATAAAGGTTATATTTATAGCATTATATGATCTTTACCTCCAGGTCCCTCACCCCTTAAAGAACATCCTGCTTACTTTTTAAACTTTTTTAACTATGAAAACATGCAGAAATGTTCTGAAAATAACACACTCACCCCGAGACTTGAAAGTACTTTTTTGCCCTTATTTGATGTGACTCTCTGAAATAAAACACTCCCTTCTTTGTCCTCAGAAATCGCCACTAATTAAATCCCTCCCAAGCATGTTGCTGCTACAGAGTACTTTTGATTAACATGTGTATATTAATAAATAAAAATACCATGTAATTTAACAATAGACATTCTATATGTGTCTTCTTTTTTAACTTTTTCTTTGGTGAAATGACACACAAAAAAAAGAGCTTTGTAGAGGACTACATGAGAGCCCCTCCTTGAATGTAGAACTGCTGCAACATTAGTTAAATCAAGTCTTATTTCCATATACTAATATGTACAAAGCTATGGTCCATCCCCCCCCCATTGGCTCTAAGCAATGAAAATAAGGCCAGCTGAAGTACTGATATGTAATCTTTAAAGCCAGCCTGACAGTCTCCAATTTCCTGGTATAGTGCTCTGTAAAACATTTCAACCACAGCGGGATGGCAGAGCCACTCAGTTCCAGGAATGTCAACTGGGTACGCGTCTCAAAGTAAGAGGCTAAGAGTCCCTAGGATACAACAGTTGACACATCAGAAACTAAAGCAATAGCCTAATTCATTCATATGCTAGCCCAATCAAGTTATGCAGACTGGTTTTTCTGCTTATCTCCTTGCATTTTGCAAAGATGCTTTTCCCCTCACCTGGCTAGCCAGCTCATGTTACTTCCTCACTGTCATTCATCCTTGAGGCATTCCCTTCTTCACAAGATAATAAATTCTGGGAGAGGCCTTGGATCAAGACCTTTGTTTGCACATCGTCACTTGGATCGGGTTTAGGACCCCTTGGCTGCCCTTAACTTTGAATATGTCTTGCTGTCTTAACTCTTGCCATGGGTTACACTGGAGGAGGTAGGTTAAAATTAACTTGCTGGGATTCCACTAATGTCTCAATGGGATTACAAAAACAACTTTGTGGATTGTAAGGAAGATCAGAAAAGGGATTACAATATTTGGACTATAATACTCAGTATTTGGGAATACATTACAGCTTAATGAATCATTACAATTGCAAACACCATTTCTTTGGTTAAAAATACAACATTGCCTGACAAAGCCCAAGCATACCCCCCCCCTCCTTTTAATGACAATCAGTCCTTGTTTCTTTTTAAACTATGGGAACACCTCAATACACCTCCCTAAATGTATCACTTAGTTTTTTTTTGAGATAGGCTCTAATTGTGTTTCCCAGGCTGGCCTTAAACTCTGGGGCTCAAGGGACCTCCTCTTGCCTGAATTCTAGAGTAGCTGTAACTTTTAGGCATGCCACTGTGCCCAGCAAATTTTGCCATGATGGTACATGCACTGGAAACAAAAAGTGTACACTTTTGTAGCAAGGGACCATGAGAAATCAATCCAAAAGCTACTAGACAATGCAAAGAAGAATAATGTTATAGCTTGTGTCTAGACATTCCTGTAAGGTTCATGGGTGATACATAAATAAGGGCTTTTTCAGAGGTGGCTAGATCTAGAGTGAGTGATGGTGCAATTGATTCGTGGTGCAATGCTAGGATTAAAGGTGTGAGTGCTACCTACACTGAGTAGCCTGGATAAGATATAAGGGAGAAAAAGAGGTTTGTCACTGGTTGCTTGCTTGCTTTTGTAATCTGCCTACTGTAGACAGCTTTTCCTCTATGATGCCCCTCCTGCAATGTCAACTTGCCTTAGAGTCAGCTGATTATGGACAGAAAACTCTACAAACTGTGAGCTAAATAAAGCTTTTCTCCTTTAACTTAGGGCGTTGAGTATTTTGTCTCAGCAATAAGAAAAATAATATAACTAAAATGATGTAAGATTAATTACAATCAATGAAAAATCAGAAGACGGCACAAAGGCCATAAAAAAACTGTTCACATAAGTAATAGCAGAAAACTTCCCAGGCATGGAAAAAGAATTTGACATATAGACAAATGAAGCATGCAGAACTCCATTAGCCACAATCAAAAAAAAAAAAAAACAAAAAAAAAACTAAACCAAACCATGTAATAGTCAAGACCCTAGAAATTCAATGTGAGAACAGAATGTTAAAAGCTATTTGAGGAAAGAAACCAGTCACCTATAAAGGAAAGCCCACCAGAATCACAGCAAGATATCTCAATACAAATCCTCAAATCCAGGAGAGCTTGGAGTGAAGTGTTTCAAACCCTAAAAGAATGTGCTTTTATATTTCGCTACTTAAGCACATCAATATGTTTAAATTCGTTCATGATGTTGCATGCATGCATTTCATCCTGTGCCTGTTCACAAATCATATATTCCACTCTGCTGTGGCATTTATATTGTTTCTGCTTTTGGATAATGAGGATGCTATTATGAATATTTTCATATATTTAAGAAGTCTAGGCACAAGCATGTACTCATTTCTATTAGATATACACCCCGGAGAAGACCTGCTATGGTCACAACATGTGTGCATAGGTACTGCCAAACAGCTGTCCAAATCAGATCTATAATTTACACTCTCACCACCTCAGAACGCTCTCACAGATGCTCTGCATAGCACTGATGCTTAGTACTGTACTACCAAGTCCTACGCCCTCCACTATAGCGGGTGAAGTGAATCTCACTGTGCTTTACTCTGCATTCTTCTTTTTACCATGAAAGGTGAGTACTTTTTCTGTTTGGGACCTTTTGGGTAGGATCTCTGTGAAATGCCTATTTACGTTCCTTTCTTTTTTTCTCCTGCATTGTCCTGTGTTCACTAGCTTTGAGAATTTTTGAGGGGGATTAAATCCTGGGCCTTTACAAAAACAGAAAATGAAACTTCCAAAAATGTGTCATTTTTTGACATATCAAAGCTCAAGGACTGTATCATCAAACAAACTACCATAAACCCAAAGGAAAAGCCTTAAGTATGTAATACAATATTATATTCCATTTTGTTCTTTAAAAATGGGTTGGCATGGGTTGGAGATGTGGCTTCGTGGCGTATCACTTGCACAGTGTGTACAAGGCCCTAGGTTCAATACTCAGCTCTGCATTAAAAAAAAAAAAAAAAAATATATATATATATATATATATATATGTCTGTATCTTGGCAATCTAGATTTTTTTTTGGTACCAGGTATTGAACTCATGACCTCACGTTTGCCAGACAGATATTTATACCACTGAGCTAAATCCCTAGCCCTAAACCAAGTTCCACTTTCTTTTTTTTTTGGTACCGGGAACCTTGCACTTGCTAGGCAGATGCTTATGCCACTGAGCTAAATCCCCAGGCCTAGATCTTTTTGTTTCCACATAAATCATAAAAAGTCCCCATTTATGTATTGTTGGGATCGCAATGAATATATGGATCAAACTGAAGATTGGTATTTCACCTACATTATGAGTATGGCATAACTCTCCATTTATGGAGGTTTCTGTGGTCAACAGTCTTTTCTGATGGTTTTCAGGAAAGTTACATATTTAAAATTTTTAAAAGAATTATTCCTAGATTATTTTTATGATACAGCAGGATCAAATATCCTTTTAGTTTCCTTTGTTGTAGGTCTATTTCTTTTTGCTTTAAATTATATTCTCCTAAGAGTATAAGGCAATGTAAGGTAACAGGAAATTCACTTTAAAAAGCACCCTTGCTAAGCATGGTGTTGCATACTGCTAATCCCAGCACATAGGGAAGCTGATGCAGAAGGATTGTAAATTCAAGTCCTGCCTGGGGAATTTAGCAAGGCCTTTCTCAAAATAAAGAATAAACAGGGGCTGGGTATAGCACTGCAAGCCTGTAATCCCAGCACTCTAAGACAGGCTAAGGCAGTATGATCTCAAATTTGAGCCCAGTTTGGGCAACTCAGTGAGTTGGTGAGACCCTTAATCAAAATTTTAAAAAAGTGCTACAGTCCTAAATGTGCTATATGCTACATACAGAAAACAAACCTATAGGAGACTGAAAAGAAGAATAGCAGAGTTTAAGATGAATGGAGTGAAAAGACTAGAATATACACCTGATAAAATTATAATTATCTGTTCAAGAAAGATAAAAACTTGGTTCTAAGTTTTCTAGCTAGCCACCATGCTATTCTATTTAACCTAACAAAAAGTTAAAGAACACAGTTAAAGATACAATGTTCTATGACATGATGCCTTAAATAGACTCTAAGTTAAAAAAAAAAAAAACAAAACTATAAAGTGTGCATTAAGATTTTTTTCTGTGGATACCAGGAATTGAATACAAGACCTTGCCAGGCAGGTGTCTGTGCTGCTGAGCTACAACCCTGGCCCAGTACATAGAAACTGAACATAGGAAACTATTTAGCTTATGATGTTAATGGTTCTCAGTCCACTTAAAGACTCACCTTTCCACAGAATCATCTGGCTGTCTGACAAAGAACTGATACAACTCGAAGGGAGATGTCTTAACTCTGTCCAACCACACAGCATTGCCAGCAGATTTTCCTAGCTTTGCTCCAGTTGTATTTGTAATCAGAGGGACAGTGATTCCAAACACATCTTCTCCAGTCAGCCTACACATGAAAAAAGGATTTCATGACTGCTTCAGGCACAATTAGTAGTAGGTTACACTACTTACCCTTCAAGATTTCAGTCTGGTTATTTGCGTCAAAGTAATTTGTTGACCTTCTAAATCTAGATTCTTGCCCCTCTTGCGTTTTTTTTTTTTTTTTTAAACAACACTCAGCTTACACTCACTAAACTACCATGGCACACGGTGGCTCCAGGCAAGCCAGGGAGAAGTGATTTTTGAAAAGTAGAGGAAAGAAAAACGAGTGAAAGGTGAATCAGGAAGAAACACTACAGGATTTGTTTCAAAACAATTTTAAAAAGTTTTGTGCCGGCGATGTGGCTCAGTGTTACAGTTCTTGCCTTACACGCACAAGGCCCGTGGGCTCGATCCCCAGAAACACCAAAAAAAAAGTAAATTTTGTCCTATAGCAGGCCCTGTTCTATATCTCCTCCATAAAAACGCCAACAAAATCTACATTACTTGTCAAATATTCGGAGTTGTGAAACTGTCGAGATGTCAAAGACTACAGCTAACGCAGAGTCAAGAGTTAAAGCACAAGAAAAAGGAAGCCCGTTACCTTGCACAAGTGCAATTTCTCAAGTCAGAAACAAAGAACAGGCGACTTAGGGAAGCAGAGACAACCCGAATTTTGACTAGTGGACTATCTCTTGCAACGTCATTATAGATTCTTAACAGGGCAACAACCAACAGGCTATTAGTGTATAAATTACTTAGTTCCTGGATTTCTGTACGGTTTACCAAGCAAGCGCTTACTTGTGGATGAACTCATATCCGGACACGATGTTACCCAGCTGATCAGACCCGCCCAGCTGGACCCGGCACCCGTAATGCTGGAATAAGTAATAGAAGTCGTAGGCTTGGAGCACCTGGTAGAAGAACTCCGCCAGGCTCATGCCCTCGGGGCTCTTGAGTCGCGTCTGCACGCTCAGCCGGCTCAGCAGCGTGCCCATGCGGAAGTGGCCGCCCACGGCCGCCAGAAACTCCACAAGGCGCTGCTTCTGGTACCAGGCCGAATTGTCCAGCACCGTAAAGCTGCCCCACGTCCGCCCATCGGCGAAGAGCTGCTGGTGGTTGGCGGCCAGGGCCTGCAGCCCGCGGCGCAGCGCGCTCGCGTTGGCCCGCACCTGCTCAGCCGCCAGCGCCTCGCGCTCCTTGGTGCGGCCGCTCGGGTCTCCCAGGCGCGCCGTGGCACCTCCCACCAGCGCGATCACGTTGTGGCCTGCTCGCTGGAAGTGGAACAGGCCCTGCAGCGCCAGCAGATGCCCCACATGAAGCGAGTCGGCCGTGGGGTCGAAGCCGCAGTAAATGGTCTGGGGAGAGTTGCCCGCCGACCTCCTGTCGAAGAGCTCGGGGAGCTCAGTCTTTGTTCCCGTCTCTGGGAAGAACTCCTTGAACAGACCCCGAGCCTTCTGTGCCGCCAGAAACCCCTGAGCGGTGGAATGTGACTGACGCACACCCCGGGGCAAGAGTCCTAACAGTCCCGAGGTACCAGACCACCAGCCCGGGAAAAGGAACCTCAACACGGGCGCCGCCATCTTGGCGCGCGCAAGGAATGCTGGGCTCTTGGAGGCCCCGCCCCTCCGTGTCAGACCTCTGCTGCGGCTGAGGTCTTTCTGCGCATGACCAAACAAGGCGGCGGCCGTTACTTAGTTACCCAGTTACAGTCTGGCAGAACCGGGGTTCTTCCACTTTTGGGTGCTTCAAGTTACCGAAAGCTTACTTTCTTCATTTTAATTTTAAATTTATTTTTATTAATACCTGTTTGCAGACTACGCTTGTCACGGACGTTGGTCCAGGCACACAATACATCTTAATTCTTTTCAATCCCCCTTTCCTCTGTCTGCCTCTTCCCTTCCTCCCTTGATCTTCCCATTGCCAGACCCTCGTTTCTAAAAGTGGATATATTTATAATAGTTCCGTCTTCGACAAGCTGTTGTGAGGAGTAACAATGGAGCACATCACACAAACGCTGACTTTCCTGCAAGTGCGTCTGAGATCTTGGCTCGGCGGACACGGGCTCGCGAGGCTGCGAGAGGCTCGGGGAGTTGGGGCGGCCCCGGGCGGCCCCGGCCTCCTCGGCTCGGCCTGGCGGGGGCGCTCTCGCGCAGGCGAGGCGAGGAGAGTGCGACGCGGAGCGCTGAATCCTTTACTGCCGGTGGACACAGCCTGCCCGAGCGGCTTGAAAGCACTGCCACGCGCCCAGCGCCTGCCAGGCCATCCCCAGGGACGGTGTCTGTCGGCTGGACCGCTGGTTGCGGACGGGTGATCCAGCTCCAAAGTTCTGCTTTAGAGCCTGACTCCTGGGACCATTTTCAGTACTGACTGCCTTGGTTGGGTCGCTGGACTCCGCGGTGGTTTGCCTGTGCGGGAGAGTTGTTGGGATGGCCTTGTGAGGACGCCTTGTAGTCCAATGTGGACGCCGCTAGAGCTGTTTGCACAGAGAGCTGGGTCTGCGGGGGATGAGGTGCTGGGATTTGCGTGCAATCAGCTGAAGCTGGGCGAGAGGCGCAGACTTCGACACCCTCCTACCCACTAATCGTTGAACGTGGGCAGCGCGAGCAGCAACACCCAGCAGCTGCGGCCCTGGTGCTGGAGCCGGGGTCTGGATCGTGCTCCGAAGCAGTCTCCACGGGACCGTTCCATTTCCTAAAATCAGGTCTTTTAAATAAATAAAGTACTGCTTTTATAATTAGCTTCTTTTTGTGTGTAATTATCAGTGAGCTGAGTTGCTCATTGCTAAAAGTAAATTCTGTTGATTTTTAGGTACGAATCCAACAGGTTCTGCAACATAATCTCAAACGCTGAAGCAAGTGACCAAGGTGTGTTCTTTCTTGTTATTCAAAATTCTCATTCATGACCTGTTGACCCACAGCCTGTGACCAAGCACATTGACAAGGAGAGAAGATTTCAACATGCCTAGCGGGCATCTTTTCTTGGGCAAGTAGCATAGATAAAGTTGCATATCTAACATACAGCAAGATTTGAACATCGTCTTAGAGAATTATTTTTTTGTTTCCGAGTTTTTTGATAAATGACACATACCTATTTGTAGGTCTTAAAGATGCATTAGTATTATACCACAAACACCATACCATGGTCTAATTACTTTGTTCCTTAAAGGAATCCTACTTCTTACAAAAGCATGGACTCGTGTCAGCACTAATTACCGGCCCGTGCTTAATGAAAAAAAGCTTTCAAGGATGATGAAAAAATAAACATGTTGCTACATGGGATTATAATTTATAGTCTTTTAAAAACAGACTCCTGTAATAGCTCCTGTAACTCTCCCCAACCCAAGCACCACCCCAAAGTCTCCACAGTGGGTTGCATCCCCAACTCTTTTTATTTTGAGATAACTCTCACTAAGGTGCCCAGGTAGGCTCAACCTTTCAATCCTCCTGCCTCAGCCTCCCAGAGCACTGGGCGACAGGTTATGTGCCACCACACTTGGCTTTCTTTGTCTTTTCTTAGGCTGTGTTGCATTTCATGAGTGAGTAGCAAAGTTTGTTACAGGAGATAGAATCAGAGCAGGAGCCACAAGAGCCTTGCCAGTAGCTCAGTGGCACCAACAGTCTTGGCCTAATGCCTTTACATCCATTGTTTTTCTTTCACAACCTGTGTTGGCATAATAGGGAAACTGAGGCTTTGTCCAAAAGTCGGGAGCAGAGAAGAGGGGAGGACTTTCAAATCTTTGGAATTATACCCATGGCCAAAATTTTATAGTATCTGGACTCCTGCCTTGTGCTTGGTTTAAGAAAAGGTAAACAATCCTAAAATAGCTAAGAGAGAAGGTTGAATGTTTCCAAAATAAAGGCACGATAAGCAATTAAGGTGATGGATAGGTTAACTGCTCTAATTCAATCATTCCACATTTTATAAGTCTCACAATATCATATTGTGATACATCGATAAAATTATATGCATCAATTAAAAATGAAACATACTCAAGAAGAATTTATTATTCAAAAAAAGGAAAAAGGTAACCAACTTGATTCTTGCTGTTTTTATTGGCTTAAAAAGTAATGCAGAAAATGTGGTTTAACTCAACCGTAACTTGAGGTTTGCTGGCCTTGAATTAGAGGCATCTTTTCTGTAATTATTTCCGGCAACAAAGCACTACATAAATATTCTCTCTGAAAGGATCCCTGTTTTATGTGGTTGTTTTAAAAATGTTAACAATGATCAGTATAACACCATGCAGAAGGCAAGGAGAGGGTAAAGGGGACTAACTAGTGTTTTAACTGGTGTCCTGCAGGTTGTGCCAACAATTTAAAGCTCAGCAGCTTTAGTTCATTTTGTGTTTTGTTTTGTTTTGTTTCTAGTTGATGTTGAAGTATCTCTCTACTCAGTGCATAGCATGATTCAGATTGTAACAGAGATCACTTGGGTTAAAATATGAACTGTCCAAAGGTCACAGCAAAGTGATAGCAAAAGAGGTCTGAGCAATTCTGATTCCTATTTCTGTTAGAAGCTACAGTGCATTTCTCTTCAGGAACATAAATGATGACGTGCCGCCACCCATGTGGCTCAAGGTTTTTGGGGTGAAAGACCACAAGAGGATGAGAAAGAAGGGACAAAGCTAGAGTCAGGTGGCGGGAGCCCTTACCCTCCTGATGGGAGGAAAGGAACTAACTGGCCCCTCATTGCAGGGGCCTTTATTTATACCATTTAGCAACTTAATGTAACACACAGGACACCCTGTTGTCCTGGCAATCCACTGTTTGGATTGTCTTGGGGCCAGGTGCTCTTTCTTCTTGGGACAGCCATGCCCCAGCCTTGCACATGTGGTCAATTTCCAGCTTCGGCAGCTCTCAACAATGACAGAGGAGGCAAGAGGGGGAAAGATGAGAGCAAGACGCAGAGCTCCTCGTATGCTACTCCAGGGACTTAGTTGTGAGCTGCCTTCCAGTTGAAGTATTTCCTACTACTCGAGAAAAGAAAATGTAATTTCTAAAGGTTGGGGTCAAGCCTTTGTTGGTCTTGTACAGTAATGAATAAATGAGTCTATCTGATAAATCCATCTTCTCTCCTGCTTCGCTGTTGCGTTCTTCTTGAAGCCCGTGGTCCTACAAGGTCCTGACCAGGCCCTGCCATGCCTGCAAGGCCTTCGCTCCTCTTTCATTCCACGCAGACCTCTTCCTGGATGGTGCTTGGCACGGGGTGGGGCAGGGAAAGAAGTTTTTACCAAGCAGGCTGATCATACTCCAAAAAGACATTAACATGTCAAATCAATAATGCTCACAAAAAGGAAAGGTCATTATATTTTATTAAAAATACAGATATGTGGGAGCCAGGTGCCTGCAGCCTAGTCGATGCCCATTCACTGAAATGGCTCTGATGATTTTTGAACATCTTAACACATTCACAACCAGGCTGTAACTTGTGTGTCTTCCTTCTGGGCAGCTTGAGCCACCGATGGCATGACTGTCCCATCGGGTGGTTCTCTATATTAATTTTGTTAGTAAAAAGACTGATAAAAGTGAGTAGATCTCTTTGTACCACTAGTGGGACAAACACCCCATGATTTTGAAGTCAACTGGTATGAGTTAATCCAAATGTTCTTTGGAAGAGATGAATTTCTTTCAAGCTGCTGGCTATACAAGGGTAATTACATTATATATTTTAAAAACTTTTTAAGTTTTTGTTTGTAAAAGTTTGCTGATGTGTTTTGAAATTTTTTTTGTAGTTTTCTTCTTTTTCTTTTTATCCTTGAAATAAAATGGATTTGAAAAATAAAAATGTAAATTTAAAAAATAAGTGAAATTTTATTTTTCTCCTCTTTTCCACTTTTTTTGAAAATATGTTGGTATAGTTTTAGGGAGCACTTTTCAGAATGCTTAGCAGTTTTGGCAACTGCCACACCTAGCTTGCCCCTTGCTAGGCGGCTGAGGGCAGGGGAAGCAGGGGCTGGTGAGTACAGCCCTGTCTGAACTCACGCAGCGGCTCCACCTCAGCTTTTGACTTAAGTCTGTGCCACCATCTAGATTGCATTGCACATCCCCATCTGAGCTAAATCCCAGTAAAAACAAAATTGTAGGGACAACAGTTATGAACATACCTCTCCAGAAGAGTAGCTGGTCAGATGGACGCTGAGTCTTCTTGGACTTTATTTGGAACTGACCATGGAAAGTGACCATGGACAGCTGAACAGAGAAATGTGAGCCAGGAAAAGAGGAGAGCCAGGTGTGAGCATGTCTTTTGCCTCCTCAGGGGCCGTACATGTACTGTAGCCTGTTCCCTAGTGCTGTCTGCAGCTTGACCAGCTTGGGGATCTGGGAACAGAGGCAGCTGGGCAGTTATGGTTGGAGTTTGGAGAGATGTAAGACTTCTGGTTAGTTTCTTATTTACTTTATGCTGATTACTCTTGGATACACGGTGCTGAGTCAGAAGCCTAAATAATACTATGTGTGATGGGTTTCCCAGAGATGGATTCCAGATTGTTCTGTATGATGAGCAAAACATTTCAAGTGTGCATTTGATAGTAGAAGAAAAAGCAGCTACATTTCTTGACATGATCTGGGGAGGTATGCTCAGTGGAAACAAAGAGATGGCCCTCATAGAAAAGAAATGGTGCAGAGGCAGCAGGAAAACGGAAAAAAAAAAAAGATAAATCAGGCTTTTGATTGAACATATGTGCATCTAGCCTATGACATCTCTCATGGGATCTCTCTGCATGTGGCTGATTAAGTGATTGACAAGGTTCTGAGTCATCTCAAGGGATCTAGTAGGCATGACTTTCCCATAATTCATTCTGCTACAGTCAGATGCTTGACATGTTCTCCCTATGAACCGGCCACTAAAGAAGCTTAGTGAGAAAGGTTACTGTAGGTCACACCACTGAATGTAACATTCATGTGTTCTGGCCTGGAGCTTTAGAGATTTCTTGGGACTTTGTTATGCCTAGTGCTGCTTCTCTGGAAGCAGGATTGGCTCTAGGGTGTTGTCCAAGTTTGGATGGACAGAGAGGAAGTGGTTTACCTACCCCAATAGTACCCACTGCACTATAAATAGAGGTAAATTTTTTTTTTAATCTTTTTGAGATCAAGTCTCACTATGTAGTTCAGGGTGGACTTGAGCTCACTTTGTAGCCCAGGCTGGTCTCAAATTTGGAACAATTTTCCTGTCTAGTTTCCCAAGTGCTGGGATTACAGGCATATGCCACCAAAGCTAGCATAAAGATAAATTTTTAAAATATAAAAATAAAAATAAATAAAGGTAACTACATACACAATTCTTTGCTCTATTAGGTTTCTGAGAGGCAAACAGTGGGATAAATTGGAGTTCTTGGACCTTCTCCTGTACCCAGCTGTGGATATTTTGAAATATGCATGAATTTTTGATCTCTTTTTTTTCCACTTTCTGTTTCATCCGCTATGACTGTATCATGTTCTGTGTCTTGAATAAGGTGCAAGTTAGAGATGTGATGTTACTTTGAATTCTGTGTATTTTTAATTTCCAAACCCTGCAGACCTAGGACAGAATAAAGGTTGATGGAGTAAGCTTAGAGAAGCAGAAAAAAAGAGAAAACATCTCTGATTTTTTTTTTTTAAACAGGGTCTCAGGCTGATCTCTGTGTATCCTAGACTGGCCTGGAATTCCCTGTGATCCCTCTGCCACACCCCCTAGAGGCAAGGATTTACAAGAGTGTGCCAGCACACTCACTAGCATTCTCCAATCTATGAGGCCCCAAACTCACCAGGGCAACAGAGCCCTGGCTGCTGGGCCTGCTATACTACCCTAGCCTCAAAGAGGTGACCACATAACTGGTCATGTCTGCGGCTCCTGCCTCACCAAAGGCTCCCCTGCTCCCCGTGAGGCAGGAGTCACCTGAGTGTCAGGTGGAAGTCTCAAGAATAACCAGCTCTCCCCGTGAGGCAGGAGTCACCTGAGTGTCAGGTGGAAGTCTCAAGAATAACCAGCTCTCACCCTGGGGAAAACAGGGAATGACAGTAAGCAGTGGGAGCAGGTACTGGGTATGGTTTAGTAGAAAAAACAGTAACAACAACAACAAAAAGTTCTTGCTGGAGAGGGGGCAAAAAGGAAGCTGCTCTTACGGTTGATACACTGTGTCAACTTGAGAAGTTTAACTAAGAGACCCAGCAGGGAGCCAGGATGCTTACTTTGTAAATATCCTCATCCTGTGCACAAAGAGGGCACAGAGATTTTGTGAGTTCCTCACCCATCCTGGAGAGGGGGATGTCCTGTGTACAATATAAAGGAGGCTGGCTCTTTCCCCCTTTTGCTCTGGCTTCATTTCTTGGCTGCTGCCTTGAAGTGTTGCCCCTGTGTTATGCCACCCTGCCTTGGAGCCAGCTGATTAAGAACTGAAACCTCCACAAACAGTGAGCTAAATGAACCTTTCCTTCCTTCTTCTGGGTCCCAGTTATTTTGTCTCAGCCATGAGAGAAAAGTAACTAAGACACCAAGGAAGCACCTGAGTCTAGAAGCCTATATCCAGCTTGTTGGCACATGCTTGCAAGAGCAGATGAAGGGGCTGAAGGTGGGTGTAAGTGCAGGTTTGTTGCTGCCTCCAGGCAGTGGATTTTATCAGTCCTTTGTCTCCCACTCTACAGTTTCCCTCAAGGGTTACCTCATCTTGCCTTTAGTTTACTGAGGAACTTTGTGCCATTATCTCCTGGTCCCAAGAGACCATGGCAGGCTTGGCCTTTGAGGAGAAAGGGCTGAAGATGGCCAGAGTAGACCTGCTGACTGTGATCTAATAGCGGCAAAATCCTGGCAGGGACGAACCCCTTCACATTGGAGAGCAATTTCCTACCATTCCAGTAGATTAAGGGTGCAGACAGACAGGGGAAGACTTCAAGGTCATCAGCGAAGCCTGTGCAGGTGAGGATGAGGCTGGAGGTGGAGACGGTCTGGGATTCAGTGAGAGGGAGTCCCCTTGCAGGAGGATGATGGTCGGTAGAGCTGAAGGGGTCCCAGTGAAAGGGTTAACTCCCTAACTCCCCAGAGCTATCAGAGCAGAGCAGAAAGAAATGCCTAACTCCCCAGAGCTATCAGAACCGAGCAAAAAAAGAATGCACCTGCAAGGTTGTTCTGTCTCAACGAGATAAGTAAGACAAGTAACTGTTCTGTTCTGGGCACATAGTGACTGGGCTAGGACCCCGTCTCCATGGTTACTCAACCCCAAACCCCTCCAATCAACTTCTGCCAAGTCCTATCCTGCTCAAAATTAACCAATGCAATCTGCTTCTGTAAACTCGCTTGCCTCCCGTTTGTGCCCTTAAAAACCCTGCACAATTCCCCCTCGGGGCCCTCCGCACTTGTTTGCCTGGGGGACCCCATGCGCATGGAAATAAACTTTTTACTCCTCACTACGAGCTGAGTCCTTGGGGTCTTCTTCCCTGCGACGCCGGTCCTTACATTTGGAGGCCCCAGCGAGATCAAACTGAGATCAGACCTCCTCGCAGAGGGAGACCCCAACGGCACCTCTCTGGGGTAAGTAGTACGGCCGGTTTTTGTTTACTTTCATTTTGGATCGATCCGCCGTTTCCTTTCGTCCCAGGCCGAACTCCGGCTCTACTTCAGGGGCAAATTCTGTTCTTGGGTGATCGGGGGACGCCCCACACGGTTTTCCGTGACTCACCGTCTGCGATAGGATTTTCCTATCGGTCTGGGGAATTTCATTCCCAATCTGTGGTCTGTCTGGGCCAATCTGGGGAATTTCATTCCCAATCTGTGGTCCGACCGGGTCAATCTGGAGGCACCCCCTAAGGTGACTTGTCTGATGTGAAACTAATGCGTGAGAGTGAGGTGGCCGGCCTGTTTGTCCTGTGTGTTGTGACTGTTGTGATTGGTTATTTGTTGTGTCGCACGTACGCTAACCACTCTTTGTCTTCAGAACACCATGGGACAAACGACATCGTCCCCATTGTCCCTCACCCTCGACCATTGGTCGGAGGTTCGAGAGAGGGCTCACAATCTCTCCTTACAGGTTAAAAAAGTAAATGACAGACTTTCTGCTCATCTGAGTGGCCCACATTCTCCGTGGGTTGGCCACCGGAGGGGACTTTCCACCTTCCCCTCATCTTAGCAGTTAAGAACATCATCTTCCGCCCCGGACGAGAGGACCACCCCGACCAGGTCGCCTACATCTTGATATGGCAGGACCTCAGGAAAAGCCCCCACTGTGGGTAAAACCCTTCCTTCCTCCGCCCTCTCCTTGGTTGCCTGTTTAAACTTGTTACTAACTTAGGGGCTTGTTGCCCATTTCTGTTGCAGGATCCATATGGCTTATTAGATTCAAGGTTCATGATAAAAAAAATTATTTCCTTTAGCTGACCAAACTATGCAAGAAGCTCCCTTTGTTTGTGTCTTTAATGTTGTGACACCTTGTTTAATATGTAAGACTTCAATTGATTGCTTGCAACCTCAGCATGCCTTTTAAAAGGAGTATTTTTTCTCTCTGGTGAAAATGTAAACATGTGCACATATATATGTATATCTATGGTTATTAAAAATCATATCAACTTTACCAAGTAAAACCAGGTCATACTGTAATTGAGCCAGTAAAAAGGTTATAGTTTAAAAAAAACAGCATTTTAATGTGGTAAAAAGACATAAAATAATTAAATATGATTTAGACTACTAGAAGGTGACTTCAAGGGTTCTGTTGTGAGTTTTAATGTTGTCTGAGAAGTGAGAAAAAAGGTAATTGACTGGTAATAGTAAAAAGAGGGACAAAGAGAGTGGTCTTCAAGTAAAGGTGTCTGGCTATGCCAGAATGTAAAAAAAAGATTAAAGCTTAGTTTGAGAGGTATTATTGTAAGTTGTAAAAGGCTCAAGAGGATGTAAATTTTATTTATCTTGGTTTATAGTACTACAAATAACAGGTTTGACAAAAAGTAAATCTGTTCAGAATTTGACAGTATTAGATCAGTTTTGGTAAAAGTATTCATAAGATTGTACTTTGCTGCAAAATGTTTCCATTAAAATGAGATTATAGGTGATACTAAAAATAAGATACAAGTTCTTACATGTACTGTGAACATCTGGGAGATTATGCAGTACAATTTTGTTACCTATAAAAAAGCCCTTTTTGTTAAGAATATAATTTTAGTAAAATGATGGCCTGCCACGTGACACCCTTGGACAAAAAACAGTGTGCCATCCAGATGAAGCTGGCTCTCTGATCCGGAATGCCAAAACCATGTTCTCCTTTTGTGCCACCCTGACTGGACATCCAGAGGTAAGGAGGTTTCCCAGTATCGCCAGTTGTTCTCTTTGTAACTCAGTTGGCCCCACATGTTAGACAAAAATTACAAAGGTTTGAGAGGTTTAAGAAAATGCCCCTCAGCCAGTTAATAGAGATAGCACAAAAAGGTCTTTGAGAACTAAAAAATTTACAAAAAGATAGCCAAGATGTTAAAATTGCTCTATGAGAAAAAACTTTTAAAAAACAGACGAGAGTTTCTGGGGGCAATTGGATACTGTAGGCTAAATTTTACTGAAAAGCTTGCCTCTATATGACTCCCATAAGGGAGAAACTCAAAATTCGCTGAACTGGACTGATAAATGTAAACAGGCCTTCCAACAGCTCAAGCGGGCCTTGACAGAGGCCCCAGCCCTGGGACTCCCTGACGTTACCAAGCCTTTCATCTTGTTCATAGATAAACTCAGGGACATTGCCAAAGGAGTCCTAACTCAGGACATTGGCCCTTAAAAGAGGCCTATAGCCTACCTCTCCAAAAGACTTAATCCAGTAACAGGGTATGGCCCCCTGCCTTAAAATACTAGCTACTGTGACAATGTTACTTAAGGAAGCGAAGAAACACGCTTTGGGCAAGTGATTTCTGTGGTAACCTCTCACAGTTTAGAGACTCTTATCAAAACCCCTCCTAAAAAAAGGCTCTCCAATGCCAGAATTCTACTGTCAAGTCCTGCTTCTAGACCCAGAGTCAATGATATTCAAGACTTCTTCAGCTTTAAACCCAGTCACCCTTATGCCTGATGATGACCTGGAGAAACAAAGGACACCTCTCCATGAGTGTGCTGACATCCTCAAACTGCAGCGGAACCTACAGGCTGATCTTACTGACCAGCTTTTGGAAAATGCCGACAACTGTTCGATGGAAGCAGCTTCATCCAGAACAGCAGAGACAGATGAGTGGCCGGGACAGCAGTGACCACCAAAAAAGAGGTACTCTGGGTTAAAGGGTTAGAGCCTGGCTCCTCTGCCCAAAAGGCGGAGCTCATTGCTTTGACTGATATACTAAAACTAGCCACGAAAAAGAGGGTAAACATCTATACTGATAGTAGATATGCTTTTGCTACTATACATATACATAGAGCCATCTATTAAGAGCGAGGTCTCTTAACCTCGGCCAGAGCTAAGATTAAAAAAAAAAAAAAAAAAAAGAGGGCTCCACAAATCCTAAATTTGCTGGCAGCAGTCTGGCTGTCAGCAGATTGCTGCTATTCACCTGAGGAAGCAATTTGGCAGATCAGGCCGCTGAAAGAGTAACAATCACATCAGAGAGGCCAGCCGAAAAAGTAACTGCTCTGATGCGAGTCCCCCCGACCTTATCAGAACCAGTCTACACACAAAAAAAAGACTACACTGGTTGTTGTGAGCCATCTAACGGATTCCAGTCCCTGTGACTAAAAGACAAGTACAGAATTTCTAGGAGCCACAGGACTGATCCAGAGTTTGGGACCCTGGCAGAGGCCTGTTGCCTACCTTTCCAAGAGACTTGGTTCTGTGGCAGCCAGATGGCCACCCTGTCTGCGGTGATTTCATCAATGGCCCCCTCATAAAGGAGGCTTAAAAATTGACTTTTGGACACAAACTCTTAATTGTTTTCTCCTATTCACTGAAGACTCTCATCAAGGTCCCACCAGACTGATGGATGTCTAATTCCTGAGCCATACATTATCAGGCACTATTTCTAAAAACAGCAGCTTCAAACTCGGCTACTTTGCTGCCTGAGGATGACCCCTCGTTGCCTCATTGATCACCTCACGGAACATCGACCTTATCTAGTTGATAAGCTACTGTCTAGAGTTCCATCCTACTTCTCTGATAAAAACAGTTATGTCTCTCAAGAGCCCATTTACACTTAAAAAGACCAGCATCTGGCAGCTCAACTTCCAAGAGATTCCGGGGGCTAATATCAAGCTAGCCCAGTCTGTGAGCTTCAGATGCCCTCAGTGCCAATTGGTAAATCTAAAAGTACTGCAACAAATAAAAACCACTGGTTATCGTGGGACTATGCCTAAAAACACTGAAAAATAGATTTTACAAAAATAAAAAGCCTAAACTTCAAAAATATAAGTGTTTTCTACTTAGTCTGAGTCAGCTCTGATAGCAGTTTCTCTGATTTGGTCTCCCTTTTTATCCGTGGGGTCCAACAATGGCCTGGCTTTTATAGCCTAGTAACTCAAATTAACCTAAGCTTTACAAATCAATTTAAAAAACTCGATTGGGCTTACCAGCCTCAGAGTTCAAAAAAGGTAAAAAGATAAGTTAGATTTTAAAGACTATAATTACTAATGGCCTTAAAAACTGGCAAAAACTGGGTGAGTCTCTTTTCCTTCTGCCCCTTTGCGTGCGTGATACACCCCCTATGTTGCAGATATTTCCTCTTTTGAGGTTTTATGTGAGGTTTCTAGAAATTAGCTAATTTAACTAATCAAGATCTTATTAAGTCTCCCCCAGACTTTTCAGCTAGCTGTGACTTCCATCCACTGGTTACTTCGCTGCTGCCCACTGCAGCTAAAGAGCCTAGGCACCTGGACAAGCGACCTCACCGTAAATCTCTTGAGAGCGACCTCACCGTAAATCTCTTGAGCCGCAATGGACTGTCAAAATAGCTAAAAGCCTGCCTAGATTCAACGTTCTCAATGCAGACAAGTCCCAACTTCAAAAGACCATCAGCCTGCAAATAAGTAAACTGTCATTTCTTCCAAGGACACTTTAAAGCTTAAGATTGTCTAATATAACTGATAATTTTGTGTTCTCCTCCTTTATAGAGACCCCAAGGAGGCCTCTGTCTGACTTAAAAATTGTTACTTATATGATAAAACAGAGTAAATTTAAATGTTGGTTTTCTTTCTCCTTTTGGTTAACAGCTTTAATGACAGCTACAAGACCTTTGTTAATCCTCCTACTGGGCCTTATGTTGTAAACAAGTTGATAAACTATGTCAAAGTTCTTAAAAGCTTGTGATTTTAAAGACACATGCAAGGTTATAAACAGATGCTAATGAGTCAATCAATGGGAAATGTTGTACTCTTAAAAAAATAGCTTCGTTATATGTGTATTATAACAAACCTGTAAAGTGACTTACTAAATGTTTTTTTTTAATCCTTTTTCCCTAACTGATATGTTAAGTGGCCTAATTGATATGTTGAGTAACACTCTCCTCTGTAAAAAATTACAAGAATCTCACCTAATTGATATGTTAACCATTGTTGCCCTCTACAAACTACAAAAGCTGAACTAAAACAAGCTAACAAGGGTTGTTAATCACTGCTAGGCGCCTCTATTCTCCGTTAAAAAAAAAACCAAAATGGCAATTAATTTACATTTGTTTAAAGTAACCTGCTTGTGTGCAAAGAGATTTGCGTGTGAGTTTGGCCCTTTACTCTAACCTTGACACATAACCGCCGTTTTCTGTTCTGTATGGCGCCTTATTGCCTCCCTCTCCCCTCACCTATCTGTCTAGGCCATAAAAAATTTGGGTTTCTGATGACCTCCTCCCGACCCGGTGATGACCTGTCATAAAATAAGCCTGCCCCAAAATTTAAAAATTGTTTAGCTTCAAAAAAAAATTACTGGGTAATACTATGGCCCAAACCCCAATCGGTGCTTTCCTTTTGTTCTGTATGTATCAAATGAGTTAGATATCAGGTCTTTGTAAAACTTAAGTTCCAGTGTCTCATAACTTGTGACCCCTTCGCACTCACTAACAAAGACAAGCTGTCCTGAGATAATTAACTCTCCACTTTCTTCTCCAAATATTGCTGCAGACGTGCCACTCTGAGATAACGTCAGTCTGCAGGATGGGAGTAATTTGAGAAAACACCGGGGGCTCCCGAGATTGTCAGAGCTAGGTAAACAACAATACAGTTTCCAGACTTGGGTCAACAAGTTTGATGGCTCTACAGGTTTCTTTATAAATCACATAACTCAGTTTATTAACTCCCAAGTCTCTCAGATAAAAATAATGGTCCTTAGACAACAACATACTCCCTTAGCTATAACTGACCTCTAAGATTAGAGGTATTATGCAGAAGAAGGGGGGGATGAAAGGGTTAACTCCCTAACTCCCCAGAGCTATCAGAGCAGAGCAGAAAGAAATGCCTAACTCCCCAGAGCTATCAGAACCGAGCAAAAAAAGAATGCACCTGCAAGGTTGTTCTGTCTCAATGAGATAAGTAAGACAAGTAACTGTTCTGTTCTGGGCACATAGTGACTGGGCTAGGACCCCGTCTCCATGGTTACTCAACCCCAAACCCCTCCAATCAACTTCTGCCAAGTCCTATCCTGCTCAAAATTAACCAATGCAATCTGCTTCTGTAAACTCGCTTGCCTCCCGTTTGCACCCTTAAAAACCCTGCACAATTCCCCCTCGGGGCCCTCCGCACTTGTTTGCCTGGAGGACCCCATGCGCATGAAAATAAACTTTTTACTCCTCACTACGAGCTGAGTCCTTGGGGTCTTCTTCCCTGCGACGCCGGTCCTTACACCAGGACACGGAACACAATCTGTTCTTTCTCTTTCCAACTGTCCTTCAGTCTCACTTCACGATTGCTGCGCTGGAGGTTGTGCCTCAGGCCACCCTGGCCTCCCAGCCTTCTCTGTGGTTCTTGGGTGGCTGCACGCAGTCCCACTGAATTCTGTTCTGCATGCAGGTTTCCTGCTCGGGATCAGGCTTCAGGAGCCACTGACAGCAAGCTGCTCCTCTTTTTGCTGATGTGATGACAAAAACAGGCTTCTGGAGGAAACAACCTGGGAGACCCTGGGCATGATGCATTTTGAAAAGCTTAGTTCAAAAAAAGGATAATATTTTGAGTCAACAGTTTTGGATTTTTCCTCTTAATTAATTTTTTGATCACTCTGATGTAGCATATAAGTGAATCAATTCAGTCTTTCATGGAGATGGAGTGAAATTATTTTTTTTATTTAAAGAGAAAAAAGAGGAAAAAAAACCAGCAGTAAAAGGCTACAAGTAAAAAATTTAAAGAAAAAAATATACTGTAAGAAATTACTAGTTGGGGCTGGGGATTTAGCTCAGTGGCATAAGCGCCTGCCTTTCAAGCAGGCAGTCGTGAGTTCGATCCCTGGTACCAATAAAAAAGGAAAAAGACAAAAAAAAAAAAAAAGAAAAGAAAAGAAAAGAAATCACTAGTTAATAGATTACATATTGTCATCTTAGAAACAGTTGTCCAAATTACAAAATTAAAGCATACAAAGTGGACATTCATACAGTGAGATTGCAGACAGTTCTGTTCAATGATCCAACAAAAAAACTCAGTAATATGGTTTTCTATCTTACACACTTAAATATACATGCAGTTATATCCTTTAGGCCACTTTCTTTTCCTCTCTTTTTACAATAACTATTATACTTTTTGGGTTTTATTACTCCCATAGTTCTTATTACTTTTTTTCTGAAGAGAATAAAACCAAATGTGACAAAACAAAACAGAGTCAGTTAAAACAGAAGGATGGACATAGTATATGATGCAAAAATAGAATACCAGGTGATCAAAAATGATTACCATTATGCCTCTTGCTATCTTGAAAAGAGTTGCCCATATCATCAGGTATAATAGAATTGAACAAAACAGTACAGAACAAGACCAATAAAACCTACCCTGGAGACCTTACAAGACTTCAAAAGAAGATAACAGTCAAACCATAATGGGCATCATAGTATGTCTTATTGCCTTCAAAGTGGTTGCCTATACCCTCAAACTTGATACTATCAAACAAAACAATTTAGTAAACTCAGACAGAACAAGATGGGGAGAGCAATACTGGGGTTCAAATCAGGTTAATAGGAAAACAAAAAAGTTACTGTAATATATGCCACGATTTTAAATTTAGTTTTCCCTTAATTAAAAAATAATAATAAATTTTAAAAAGTGGGAGATTGAGATAAAAGAGGACATAGTAACAGAACAACACAGGTCAGAACAGAACAATTTGAGCATCATTGTGTTTCACCACCGGATAATCTGATATAATAGTAGTCACCATAGTGTCTCTTTCCTTGAATTATTTGAGTATAACTTCGTATACTATAGCATCAAACATATTAAGACTGTGAAGCCATTCAGAGAATGTAAGAATTACAGGGTATTTAGAACCAGCTAACAGAAAACGAACAACAGTTTCTATATTATCTCTTTGCCTATAAAAAGTTTTGTTTATACTATCACATATAGTAAAATACAATAAGATACAACATGTTAAAACCCATGGAAACCGACAAACAACAGCTTGATGAAACTTCAAGACAAGATGATATTAAATCAGCACTAGCTATTATGATGTCTTGTTTTCTTCAAAATTGCTATTTGTACTATCACAGACAATAAAATCGAACAACCCAGATTAAAACCATTCCAATTAATGAGTGAAAACATTATATGGCTTCAAATCAATATGATTGGGAATCATGATTACCACATGCTTTTATGTATTCTTATCATTTCTTACACTAGGGAAACTATTCAGTATTTATACATGTGAGTTTGATTTATCTCACTTATGAGTATGGTCTCAAGCTGTGTCCATTTATTTATAAATATCTCAATGTGATCATTCTTTATAGCTGAGTAGTACTCCATTGTATAAAAATACCACAACTTTTTTATCCATTCCTCAGTTGATAGACACTCAGGTTGTTTCCAAGATCTGGCTATTACAAGTTGCGCTGCTATAAACATGGATGCTCATATATCACTGTGGTATGATGCTTTCAGTTCTTCTGGGAATATGCCTAGGAGTGGAATAGCTGGGTCAAATGGGGCTTCCAGTCCCAGATTTCTGAGAAATCTCCAGATTGACCTCCACAATGGTTGCACCAGTCTACACTCCCACCAACAGTGTAGGAGAGTTCCTTTTTCTTCACAGCCTCTCCAGCATTTGTTGTTGTTGGTTTTCTTGATCCTGGCCATTCTTTCAGGAGTGAGATGAAATCTCAGTGTGGTTTTAATTTGCATTTTTCTAATGACTAATGATGATGAACATTTTTTTCATGTATTTATTT